TGTGGAGTGATTTCCACTCCGGACGTGCGGCGCTGTCAACTCAGTCCAAATGACAAGTGGGTTTAACACACAAACACTGTTTCCTAGAAATTATTCTGACTATTATGTGGTTTCAAAGCTTGGTTTAAAGGATTTAGTGTTGTTGTGTGTTGTTAGGTTTGTTCTCTTGGCGTGCCGCTGTGGTGTGATTTCCACTCCGGACGTGCGGCGCTGTCAACTCAGTCCAAATGACAAGTGGGTTTAACACACAAACACTGTTTCCTAGAAATTATTCTGACTATTATGTGGTTTCAAAGCTTGGTTTAAAGGATTTAGTGTTGTTGTGTGTTGTTAGGTTTGTTCTCTTGGCGTGCGATGGGCTTTTTAAAGTGTTTTCTGCGGACGAGGCCGTTCAGTTCGTTCTCAACATTCTAGAGGTGCGTATTTTAATGCACTCGTTCTCGTCTTTGCTGTGTGTGTTAATATTTCTGCGTGCCAGGATTATTAAAGTTAATGTAAAAAAAAAAGTTACTCAAAAAAATAAACGTTAAATGAAATCAAATAAAATATAAAAATCTTATTTTATTAGTATGATAGATAATATTTGCATTTACTATAACTTGAGGTACTAAAATAAAAAATAAAACAAGTGAAATTTAATAAAACTGCATAGACATATTAAAAAAAAATCAATAAAAATGTCAAAAACACAACAATATTACTAAAACAAACTAAAATTCAAATGAAAGCCAAAAATATGAATAAAAAATGTTTTAAAAATTCAAAATATTATTAAAAACTATTATAGTATCTTGATACTAAAATGCTTTGTGTATTGTATGTTAAAATGGTTTTGTTTTTTAGAATGAGACTGTGGAGCAGAAGGAGGGGCAGAGTGAGGGGGCGGGGCGATTTGAGGCCGCTTGTCAGCGATTGGCCAGTGAGGCAGTGAGGCGGGGCAGTGCAGACAACGTCACTGTCATTCTCGTCTCTATTGAGTTCTGAAATCATTACACACTCACACTCACACACACTCATACTCACACACACACACACACACACACACACATCCAGAATCTTCTCTGTTACACAAACAAACACAGATTCACATGAATGCATGAATTCAAAGGTGGAAGATTTTGCTGAAATGAAACTGTGGTTTATTATTGAGATGTTTGAATCTCATTTTTTTTTCCAAAGCAGGGCTTTTGAAAACACTGTGTCAGAGTTTAGTATTTTGTGCTGTTTAGCATCAAATACTAAATAATAAACTTTTATACAGTCTCACAGTATCTGTGTCCTCTCTGAATTCCTGTGTATGTGCCAGTATGTTTGTCAGTGGATACACTTTTGTAGATAGTAGATACACTACTGATACACTTTTGAAAGAGCTTTATTTAATATTTTAGAGCTTTCATTTTTCATTTAGTCAGCAATATTGTTTTAATATAAGTACAGTTTTTTTTTAAATGAGTTTTAGTGCACATTTGGGATTTTCTTAGGTTATTACAATTTTTTTGTTTTATTTCATTTTTATTTTATCCTATTCTATTTTAGTTTTTTATTTTGTTTTGTTTTAGGTTTTATTTTATTGTATTTCAAATGCTATTTTATTTTAGATTAAACATTTTTTTATTTTAGATGTTATTTTATTTTTGTTTTATTTTTTATTTTATTCTATTAGTAGAAACTATTAGAAACTTTTTTCTTTTAGTTTCTTTTTTATTGTATTTTAGTTATTTTATTTATTTCATTTTATTTGTTATTCTATTTAATTTAATTTTAGATTTCATTTTAGATTTATTTCATTTATTTGTAGTAATTTGTTTATTTTTATTTTATTCTATTCTATTTTAGATTTTATTTTTGTGTTTTTATTTTATTTTATAATTCATGCTTTTATTTTGAAAATGCCGGACCGGTGTTACGAGATTTTCGATTTTCGGTTTAAAGGCAGAGTAAGTGATTTCTGGTAGCCAATGTTGATATTTGAAATCACCAAAACAAACACGCCCCTACCCCAAAAGGGTCTTGCCCCTATTTTGATAGCTCCTCCCCACATATACGTACGCAACCCAGGCAACGATTAGTTCTGTGAAACAAAGCAAAACCAATGTTACACCGTGTCTACGGACGTGAGCGGCGCGGCGCAACAAATCCCCGACAGAAAACTGCTGCCGGGTTCTATTTATGACGTGCTGACACAAATTTCAAATGGTTTTCAACGGTCGTTTGATCGCGTCCAGTGTAGGCAGACTTTAGCTGTTGTAGACACACGTTGTTACTCACCTATTGAGAAGAAACAAAGCAACCTCGACGTCCGATCGCAGGCCTCCGCTCCTTGAGTTCTCTCCACCGCTGGAAAGCTGATCCGATATTTACACGGGTCCTACTTCTTGCCTTATCGTTCCGCAGACGTTTTCCTCTTTTGTTTTTTATCAGCCATCTCTATCTTTCTGTCGCTCGGCTAATGTCCGTCCCATGCACTGAACGCGCTCTCCTCCACATCACGAGTAGACACGCCCCTTATTGCTGATTGGCTACAAGTTTGTTTTGCGATTCGGCCCGAATCAGTTTTCTAAAGTGTTTTTGAAAAATCACTTACTCTGCCTTTAAACATTCAATTAAGGCTTTAGTGATTGATTACTACTTCATGGAATAAAAATTCAAGGCAATGTATCATGGTGTACAGAACTTCTTTGTGTTAGTTTAAGTTGTCTTGCAACCACTAGGGCGCAGTGTTGTCTGAGGAAGTGGAAAACTTTAGAGCATAAATTGAAAGCGCAATTATCTTGGAATAGAAACACACACAGTGGCCACAAAAAGTATTTGGACGTGTAAGTCACATTTAAAATATATCAGTTTTATTGATAAAGTGATAAGGTATCAAACCAAGTGGCATTTCTTTTAAAGATATCATACTTTTCAGGCAAAACATTTCATTAAAACAAGTTTGTTAACATTTATTATGATAAAATAATTGCTATACTGTTTAAAAATGCATTTGGACACCTTGCTTACAAACTTAGTGCAACACGTCCATAGTTAATAGTTTGCAGATGCTGTTTGGTTTGATAATTTAATTGTGACTCGATGTCCCAACACTTTTTAGGTACATTGTACATACTGTACGTACAAACATGCTGGGAGATTCATAAAAGTCAACCTTAATCTGCATCAGAGAAGTGGATATTTGGTGTTAAGATTCCAATATAGTGGAAATATGATCACCAGCCTGAATGGCAAGACTAACAAATGATGTAAAGATCTACAGTTGTTTACAAACCTTTGTTGAACTAAAATTAATTTTTGTCAAGGCCCTGTTTCTCTCTCTCTCTCTCTCTCTACTATCCAGTTGGTAGTTTGCAAGAACAATAAATCATTGACAAATGTGAACTCTATTCTTAGCGTTGTATTACAGTTGGCCCTAACTAGTTCTTTCCTAACACTGTTGGACAAAGCTGAATGCATTGTTTCTGATCAGTGAAAGGGATCTTTGATCAGGCCAAGGCTTAATTGAAGATGATAAAGGCAGTAAGCAGGCATGCTCAGTGAGGCCAGATGTGCCTGTAATAGTCCCCAAAGCTTTGCACACGCACAATGATCGCAATATAATTGTGTTTTCCCTTTTGGAGAGTTTGGCCAAGCGATGTAAGTAGAGGAAGTCTTCAATCACTCAGCAGTGAAGCTGTTCCTCAATACAAGAAAAAAGAAGAATCATTACACCTCTCAGTCTGTTTATGAAGTCCTGCTGTGATCTGTCAGCTTTGGCGTGATGGAACTTTAAATATTTTTTTTCTGCTTATAAAATAATATTAGTAAAAAATAATAATGCTCATCATCATTAGTCATAGTCATTTGTTCAAAATGTAAAATGTAATGGAATGTTTTGGGCTCTGCTGAACTCCGGCATCAAGTGTATTTTAAATCAGAGAACTAAGAGTGATAACTGTAAGTCATTTCAGGCAGGCACTTAAAGGGGTCATCGGATGCTACATGCACTTTTACAAGTTGTTTGAACTGAAATGTGTGTTGGCAGTGTGTGTACACAACCACCATATAATGATAAAAATCCACCCAGTGATTTTTTTTTTATCTACTAAAATCTTTACCCCTTTCTCAAATCGAGCCCCTCCCACGATAGTTTGATTGACAGTAGCGTTTCAGCACAGACTGGACTGGTGTCTTACCTCAGACCCGCTCTGAGTGAGCTGTCATCAGTCCTCCATTGTTTCACCGCTGGAGCAGATGTAGACAAGA